CTTATTAAATAATAATAAAGCAGAAAGTAGGATGCTACGAGAAAATGTGTTTCGCTGCATACTCAATCACACCCCTCTGGACTTCCCGTCTACTGTCCTCCCGCGGCCCTCAACTCAAACTGGCTCGGAAGCGCCAAAAAAACAGTGGTTTTTCCATATTTTCGCACAGGAAGACCTCTTTGGTGAGGTCCAGTGGGAGCCTGGCTGCGACCCCAGGCTACCCCCGACCCCTCGCCGCGACCCCAAAATTTCTTCTCGCGACCCCGAGGTTGGGAACCGCTAGACTAACACCTGATTCGGGGAGCTGATGGCGGTTCAGTCCACGATCAGGTAACGGCAATGATCATCTGCACTGAATCGAACTGCTGTTTGCTGAGTCGTGGCTACTGCGGTCCACTCAGCTGACGTCCAGCCAAAGGCAGCCAGATCAGAAGCTGAACTGCGACTGACGCTAACTAAATGGAGAAACTGAGCGTGACTCAGTAACTGTACAGCTTCCCGCAGTAGATTTAGGGTACTGAGACAAACTGAGTGTTACTGGTCTTTGGCTGATTCAGTTCTCTCCCAGGTTCATTTAGTTAGCGTCGGGTGAACTGATAGTTTGCTGATGTAAACTGATTCGCTGTTAGCTCCAAGTCGGCTCGAGGCGCTCCAAGTTTGCCAACTTTCAGCTCGTTCAGTCGTAGGTCATGCACGTCAGCTAAGATCAGCCCCCGGTCGGATGAGTCAGTTTCGAGGGGGAAATCACTTGCGAAATAGTTCGTACACCTCCCCCCGAAATAGTGCGAAATAAAGGCGAAATAGAGGCGAAATAGAGCGAAATAAACACGAAATAGACGCGAAATAGTCTGTGAAATAGTCGCGAAATACCCCTGAAATGCTCCGAAATAGCGCGAAATAGCCTAAAATAACCCGAAATAGGCGGGAAATGGCCGAAATGGCAGGAGAAATAACCGAAATTGTAGGAGAAATACAACGAAATAGTCCGTACGCTACGAACCCTAGTGATTTCCCCCTCGGTCAGTTTACTGCGGTCTCGGGTCAGTTCTTTTTTTTCACCCGGGAGAGTCACCTTTGCCGAACTTGGCCAAAAAAAGTTCAAGCTTTTCGAAGTTGCAAGAAATAACAGTTTTGGCATGTCCTTTTTCCTCTTCCAGGACTCACCCATGTCCTCAAAGGAACGAAACGACACCTCAGGCGTGTTCCTTAGGTCCTAACCTTTGCATTGATACCAGAAACTTGTGCCTTAACACGGATAAACATATACATAATGCCAAATGAAATATTGCTCCAAAATCACTTCGCCTTTTCCTCAAAAATGACAGTTTTTGAACGAAAAAAACTACAAGTCTGCAGCCGAGTCTGCGGTCCCCGGGCTATTTTTGGGTACAGGGGACATTCATAAGTCAAACCCAAATGTCGAATTTCGCCACATAACGTGTCTAAAAAGGAGGGTTTTGGCCACTTTTTGACGGTTTCGGCCCACTGTGCGACTATTACCTGAGTGGATACCCCCTCTTTTCCAAACGTGTGTTCATCGACGTTCTAAATGATAATGGTAATAGTAACCCTGGCCATGGACACATTCATCGACTTAGTTGTGACCATGAAAGCCAATTCTCATGGTCATTTATTAGACACCTAAGATACCCTGAAATGCGGAGACCTCTAGCCCATCTCCTTCCTTTTGCACGGATGACAAACGGAAGGACGGGAGGTGCCATCAGTTGGGACGCCGGGAAGCAGAGACATGTAGCGCTCTCATCTACGGAGGCTAAATCATGTGGCACTCTCTGAAGCTACCAGGAATGCCAGAGGAATTATGCAGCTCCATCATGAGATCGGATCACGAGAGCGTCAGCTTCTGCATTCGTAATCTGCTGCGACAACTAGGGCGCAGTGGCGTTGTTGGCCAAGCAGCAAGGTTCATCCAAGAAATTGAGGCGCGTCGACATCCGTAAACATAATGTGAAGGATTGTGTCGGTGATAGAACCGTGCTGCTTCAGCGTGTTCCTTCTGAGAGCAACCCAGCTGACATTTGCACCAAGCCACTCACCTGGTTTTGTCACCAGCAGTTCTTCTACCAGCTTGGATTGGGGAACTAGGTGACTCCCGATGTGAGCCATTTTTTCCCACGCGTAGCTTGTATTACTGCACCTCTGACAATTTTTCCTTTGATTGTAGTTGTAACTTTTTGTTCCTACATTGACCATTTTCTCTTGATTGTAGTTGTAACTTATTGCTCTTTAAAAGTAGAAGGGCGGGCTAAAAACTACGCCAAAAATAGGGGGTACTAAGCACTAATGTACTGACTCGTTCACTTTAATTTGGAGTTATTTCCCCATTTAGCACTTCAGGCGCGATTCTGAGGCCAAATCTCCCACTGTGCGTTGCCACAAGCGCGCCCTCGTATAGTACTGTGAAAAGGGGACGTCGAGCGGCGTGGAGCGAGGAGGGGAGGGGACACGTTTCCTTCTGGTAGACAGTCTTAAAGGGACAGTCAAAAAGCATACCTGCTCCGCCATGGCTTCTTTGAACACCTTGGAGAGCGCCTCCTTGCCTGCCGCCGAATCAAACAGCACCCAATCACCACGACGCAGGTTAGGCATTTTGCTGCTAACACTGAAACACAAGGCATTTTGTTAAAAAGCAAAACAGACTTAACTGCACATTGAATACAAATGCATCGCACATCGCGTTGCTCATGTGCATGGTTCCCACATTTTGGCTCCTGGCGTTTTCCAGGACTTTTCCGAGACTTTCCGGACTACAATTTTAAACGTTTAACACTAGAACTACCGGAGGGGTCAAAATGAACCCTTTCAATTTTGAATTGCCAAATGAACTATCAAATTTTTTTTCTACCGACCCGCCACTTTTTGACTTTTCATGGGTCACCAAAATACGCTTTGACACGAAAAACCAGGCATGTGCGTCAAAAACTTTCGGAGATATTATAACATATACCTCGCTCTGCCGAAGGGGTCATTTTGACCCCTGTGTCAGTTTACGAGGGCTTTGATGGTTTTAACGAGCGGTTTTCAACTTAAACCTTGCCATTGTTGTTCTTTGTGGAAAGTGTTGACTTCCGCTTGGTCGTGTGACTATTTTGAAGCTCTATCCGCATGGGTAGGCAACCCGCACATCACATAATCATGTTTTTCTTACATAATACTTATGTGGCATTCGCAACGGTACTGTCAGCCTGAAAACGCGCTACATGGTCGAACGGAGGTTAAAAATGATAATAAATGGTCTATTACGACTGTTATTGCACGATATTTGTGCACTGTTTAATCCGCAGAACCAAAGTTTCAGAATTACTTAGAGTATTGACGGTGTTTACGGTTGTCAGTCAGACTGAAATAAACACAGACCATGCTAAAATGTGAAGAACTATTGTATTTGATGGTAATCCCATGAAATTTTCCCGAAACAAAACGAAAAATTACCAAAAAATCTGTAAAACCTCTGAAAAATTACATGTCGTGCTTTGCAGGTTGCCTACCTACCCCTTCACAGGGACCCCCGTGGGTGCAAAAATTGCTTGAAGTGTTATAAAAAACGAAAATAAGAAGCTGTGTACTCCGCACGGACCATATCATGCTATTCTAAACACTAAAGGAGAATGAAACGGCAGTGTGGACCTTGTATGATATGAATAGTGGTATAGATAGCAACAACATTCTGTAAATGTTGGTGTTAGATCTTTGAAACCTCCACATCCTGTACTGAAATAATATAATGCAAGGCTTGATCATTTCATATGTATCATCTGCTTCCACGATCCGTGCTTTGACGGAATTTTTTTTTTTTTTCAATTTTTTCGTGAGTGCGGTTAGAAAGAGGAGGTTTTAATTGATATGTTGGCATGAGAATCTCAAAATCGTCAATATGTTGGTTACGCCCATGTTAGTCCGTCCGAAACAGATTTGCCCTTGTTCGTCCGTCCTTTTCAGATTCGCCTTTGTTCGTCCGTCCTTTTCAGATTCGCCAGTGTTGCACGGATGCGTCGAAAAGCAATCTACGCCATAAAAGGCATCCACTGATGTGTCACACATGATATTATAGTGAGCGGTTCAGTCACGGCCAGGTATCAACTTAAGCCCAAATTGCATCAAATTGCACAAAAGTCATGAAATTATGCATAGCCTACACCGCCTAAACCTTGGGTTGCAATATCAAGTGTGATACATCACTAGATGCCTTTTTTGGCGTAGATTGCATTTATGAAAACAGATTTTCGAAAAGCGTCACATACAAAGCCTAAGTTTTCGATTTTCATTTTTTCGAGGTTTTTGACGATTTTATCCATAAGAGCTAATGCATAACTTTGAGCTCGTTGCGCGATCGGAAAATATTGTCCGATCTCAAAATAAAAAATTGCACTGGATTCTACATCTAAAAAGACAACATTTCCGCATACCCGCCATATCAATATCTCAAATCCTTTTTTTTCCCGCTATTTTCTAATGTATATTTCCTATTCTTTCCACACAAAGACAAACACACACACAGTACTATCATATATTTCCAACTATTAATTACCAGTATATATTGCATCATCACTAGTGTCATATTGGTTCTTAGTAAGAATTTTTGGTGTTTGTTGAATGTCAGTTGACATCTTTTTGAAGTTTGTTGAATTGTTTAAGCCATGCCACTTCACATATTTGCGACACACAATCAGTCTTATTGATGGCTAGTCCTAACATCAGGGTTGGCACAGAGTATTATATTATTTTTTGCCCCTGAAAGTGCAAAAAATTTTGTTGTCTAAATAATTTGGCACCTAGGGCTAAATTATTTTCGCTATCCCATTTCGCCCTCTTAGTGCAAATTTAAATGAAAATAAATTTAGCACCGTGCAAAATAGCATGGGGATTTTAAGTTTGGCCCTCAAGTAAGGGTCATATTTTTGCACAGTGTGCAAAGTTTAACACAATAAAACAGTGTTTCGGTCATTCGGTCACTGCACTGTTGCCACATCAGCAGGCATGGGTGACAGAGCGCACAAGCTCACAGAAGGTGAAGACTGCTGCCGCC